CCCAAAATAAACCTCGCTTCATATTTTACAAAAGATGTTAGATAGACAAAGGTAGGGAGTTTTGACATTTAGCATACCGTAGTCACTGAAAAAACCCTCTTTCTCTGCTTTGCTTTTTTTCTGCTTAGTTTTTTAAACCAGATTCAACTGAAATGTCTTGGATAGCTACATACCTAAAGATTGATCCAGCTCAAGAATCAAAGAATCAGCACACAGAAATAGAATTCTTACATTTTTTCTGTCTCCAGGGCCCAAAGAAATAGAGACTGTAGGGAGTTTTACCCAAAGGACTGCAGAAGACAACAAATTCCAGAAGCAGCAATGTAAGAGACGAGTACACAAAGAAGTATGCAACTTCTTAGGCAACAACTCCAGATACTGACAACTATTATGAAACAAATCAGAGGAAGGCCTCCTCATTTTCATGACGTATACATGACACATCCAACTTCAAGTGTGACCATAGCAATATTTCATTCCATACCTGTGAAATCTATGGCTGCACTGAAGAATCCATATGCAACTAATACAACACTGGAAGTGTTGATTTTCCGATTCCACCCCCCCCCCCACAATATAATTACTGGGATTCATTTCTCAGCCATGGTACATTCTGAAAAGTGACCTCTCATCCCAGTATCAGGCAATCTTTTGTACACACAGCCTAAAACAACTCAAAATAATAACCCCAGTAATTATCACATTCTAATGCTTCGCTGACATGTCTTACCCTTGCTTCTGGCTGTTTGCAATCAGCAGGTAACTCCTTGACAGCATTCTGTCTTTCGGTGAGAAAACTGTTCTCTGGTGCTTTGCAAAGACTATAAATACACATGCTGCTAACACAAATATATTTACCTCTCTGAGCTCCAGCCTACAAAACATCGTTCTAATCTGCTGGAATCATATTCCTCACTCACTGTGTACCAGCTCAGACAGCCACCTTCACGAGCCACGGGAGCAAAGGTGTGGTGCAATCGGTCTGAATCCCTTCTGGAGGCAGTGCCCCACCACTGCCAAAAGCCCTTCTGTAGCTTTTGGAAAAAATACTGCACTTGCCTTGACTTACCCCTAGCTAGGAATCCACTGCTTCAGACCCTTCTGTCCATCACCCACGGTGACAATTTGTTCAGACAGACACTGCAACTAACTCCCTTGGCAGAAGTTTCTGCCACCCCCGGTCACCACCCCAGAGCTGCAGAGAACTTGTTGGGTATTTCTTAGCCCCACGCACAGGACTCTACCATACACAGGTAGGTGTTCAAAGAATGCCTGCAACATCCAGGCACTCAATCGTCTGCTTACTCCTGCCTTTGATATCATAGCTTGCCCTGCTTATCTCATCCTCACTGCTTCATTAGTGGCAGCAATAACTAACATTTCACAATTAGAGAATAATGGTGAACACTCTCTACAATACCAGCATTAAAACTCCCCTGACCTGTGTCCACAAAGAGATGGGCAGCTCAAGGAAAGACAAGATTTTTTTTTTTTTTAATGTTGCAAAAATATGAGATGGAGAAAACACCACTGGATGGAAAATTGGGGCATTTGAGTCCACGCTGCCAAAAACCCTACGAGTAGTGTGTTTGCATTCCTCTCTGCACACCAAAGTGTCTCTTGAAAGCCTTTATCAGGGATCCCTGCCAAGGATTCACCTGGGCTTCAGCCAGCAGTGATCCGTACAGTTAAGAATGCACACCTCCAGCTCAGCCGTCAGGCACATACATGCCGGAGCCATACAGCAAAGTCAGCAAAAAATCTAACATAAAACCCTTCTAGCACAGGTATCACACCTGTGTTAAATATGATCACAAATGGTAATGATCAAAGAGATCACTCATTTTAGCCCTGGCCAGCTCAACACAAAACAAACAAAAAATTGTTCACGAGATAGAGTCAGATCCTAAATAGAAAACAATAAAAATTCTGTATGAAGCATCATACGCATACTTAAAGAAACAGCATGATAAAGAATGGATAGGAGGAGGAATTACTTGACAGTATCTCTGGATATCAGTTTGCAGTTCACCTTCAAAAAAGAAAAGGCACCCCCACAACTGTTATCATGATTCCTTATTTCAGGCAAAGCAACTGGCAGGAGGTAATTCTTAGCAGCATGTTGATTATGTATTTGTACATAAGCCTTAAATGTGTATTTTAATTTCACCTGAGTAAATTACCAGCATAAATCCTACCCGTCTCAAATGTGTCTGAATTTTTAATTAACCTAATATAATCATTTCAACCAGGCAGTCAGAAACGATGAGTAATGTATGATTCATATTCAGAAGTAAACGCACCTGCTTTTCAGTAACATTTTTAATTACTGGTTCGTTTTACCCTTTACATGATGTTGAAGCCAATTTGGGTCACACTGGTTTTAGCCAGTGACAAGTCCTTTCAGCTCACAAATAATGTGTAAAGGAGCTGCTGTGTTGTTGGTTTGAAGGACATTTTTAAATGCACCGTAGCAAACAGAATACGTTACCAAAACACATCATCTTTTCTGATATGCATCAGTGCACCACGAGCTTCCATCAGACAAGATTTTACTAGGAATATTTAAGCTTTGATTTAAAAGTGATGTCCCACTATTCCACCACCTTCAGTCTGTGTCATAATGATTGAGGGAGTGCTACCATATGTTAAATATAACAAAGTGCCTATTTCTAACATTACAGACATCAGGAAAAAAAAAACCTCAGGCATGTTTTTTTAATACTTAGATGTCCTCTAAAAACACTGGAGCAAACTGCAGTGAGACTATGAGAGACGTCTTTACTGAACTGCCTCCTCTTCCCGACACCACCACATACTCGAGGAGTAGGGCAGGTAGGCAAAGGGAAGCCTGCTTCAACGGGGGTTCATCACCTTTCTACTCGGAACATTTCGTTTTTCCAGGACATGCCCCCTCAGATGGCTGAAGCTATTCCCATGTAGATCTGATTTGCACTTAGCCCCTGAAATATGCCTCTGACTTAAGGTGTATCTGCTGAAGTTTTTAAACCCTCTAACACAACTAAAATGTGACAATTTCTCATACGCAAAGCCCTAACCATTCTCAAACCAGTTTGCACATCAGATTTCTCAAAGTTACCATCATTACCTTGACTTGTAGCATACTGGTAAATCCTATACATCTCCAGAGAAAAAAAATAAACTTCTTTCTGGTTCAAGTTGATAGATTTTATACACAGAAGCTAGCTCCCTCTGACACCTACCTCTGAATTTCTTGATAGAATGAGAGTACCGTGCCTGCCATGTTTCCTTTGCTTGGTGTGCTAACTCATATTTTAAGATCACAATACAAAAGACACGAAAAACACAGGAGTCAACAATGGTTATGTCATTCATTTATCAATTTTAAACCACCGCTTCAACAGCTTAAAGACTCTGTGTTCTAGTTACAAAAGTCTCTTTACAGCCATAAGAAAAAAGATAGTTTTAAGATTCATGGGTGAAAGAAACACAGGCAGTCAAGCTGAAAGCTGGCCTAAAGCCACCGGCTCCCTGGGCAGGCTTTGGGCAATGCAGGCACTGGTTTTGCAGTGCCGTGTTTTCACAGATGTAAGACACATCTCTGGTACAATGCAACCCTCTGAAAGTACTGTTTCCTCTGAATAATAAACATTTTGGAAAGGCATGAGCAAACTATATGCGGGAGAGGGTAACCAGCAGGATTATGGTAGGTTGGGCTCTAAGGCAGGTATTTCTTGTATTACCTCCCCATGGGTATTGCCACTACTTACTGCTGAATGGCAGGAGGCTTGGGAGCTTCGTTCTATTTAAAACAAATAATCCAAAGACTACAGCCAAAAAAAAAAAAAAAAAAAAAGCAGTACTCACATTTATTCATGATGATATGAAAATATTAACATCCTAGTTCGTTCCCAAATAATTAGAATCAATGCTGACAACTAACTAGAAACCACTGGATTTCAATATGCAGTGATTTGAGTACATCCGTAAAAAGTTTTATCAGTTCTCAAAAGCTACTCCAAGCATATTTGTTGACAACTGGGCTCAAATTACTTTGTACTATAGTAGAATAGCCATGTACTGAACAGACACTGCTACACACAAACTACTGAGCTATCTCTGGGTAACAAGTTGTTCCAGTGATTTAACTTACCCTTTAACAGTTATTTCTTGGGTTTCTTTTTTGTTTTTTTTCTTCCTTAAAATAACCTCATCAATTGTAATCATGTCCATACCAGCATCATGCAACATGCATTAACAATCCACTTTATTTCCACCAGTAAAGGAAAGCGCAAAAGTTTTATTAACCAACACGCAATGCAAAAACCTCTATCATTGGGTTAAGTGAAATACAACCTCAGTCAATACCGACCAAAATAAAATCCCAAATCTGCTGTATAAAGAATCTAATAAGAGTCCTACATGGAATTCTCTAAGATCCTTTCCTTCTCATTTCAGGTAGACAAGGAACCAGACCTTTGTGAAACGAACAGAAAGGCGGTCCTATAAAGCTGTCAGAAGCAAATCTTGAAATGCAAAAAAAATCTTGGAAAAGGCAGAATCAAATCATCACTAGGAAGATCTATTTTGGTAGGCTGCGATTCTACGAAAATTTGTGGCTTTGGTGACTTAGAAACAAATCAAATTCAATAACTTTAAGGGAAAAGCAAGCATCTAAATTCTGGTCTAATGTGCACAACAGATTCAGAAAAAGCAGAAGGTAACCTCGAGTTTGTCCCAGGAAATAGGTGGAGTAAATATTTTTCATTTGCTGTCCCCTTTAATTAATTAGAAGTGTCCACTGGAAGGAAAAGCAGATACATCCTTGACTGTCTAAAACTTTCCATGTTTAATTTAACACTAGCTTTCAGGTAGGAAAAGGCAGCTATGGAACAGTCGTATCTTCAAGAAAGAGAAAATATCAAGCAGAATAAATGAATGGAAAGTAATTATTTCTTAACTCAGCATATCATACTTCTCATTACCAAAGAAAAAGGTGTGTTTCAGTAAAGCTTTACCTTTCTCACAATGACTTCCTGTGAATCCAGAAGGACAGACACATTTGTTAGGGGCTACACAAGTTCCACCATATCTGCACCCTTCTTCACAGAATGCTGAAAAATAAAAGAAATATATGGGTACTACTTAATTTTTTAAAAATGTATTATACATTTGCCAGATACTAAGAAAACCATCTAAATTCTAAGCAATTAACAGAATTCAACATGTTAAAATTCAGTCCACCTGCAAGCAGCAAGAGAAGTAACTCACTTAAATGACATGAGGAAAAAATCTCACATTACACCGTAGGCAAACCACCTCACCAATAAAAGATTAATAACCATCTGGAAGAAAAAGAGAGGGAAAAATACAACATACAATTTTAATGGGGCTGATCTCCTTTCAATTACACTCAATATGAGTATTAAAATCACAATGCTCTGGCGATCCACAGAAAACAGGCTGGTCAGATGGTGTTAACTACCTTGTTTCTCACTTCTATCAAATCAACTTTACCAAAATGTCTGTAAACACATAAAGTTTCCCTATTTTTTTGTTTTTAAGTGTAAAGTACATTTTGCAGAATCAAGACATGAGATAGGGTGAGACTCATGACTGAAAACAGAAGGGCTCAACCACGAGATAATGCCTCTGCTGAGGTGTGGTTCTTGACAAAGCGTTACACAAGTGCTTTAGAAGTGCATTTGCTCAATACCTAGGATTTGAAACAGATTATGGATCTCCCATCATTTCTTGCAAGCACTGCATGGTGGTCCTCTCATTTAGAGCAGCTTTAGCAGGAAGTCTACCAACTGTACAAGGAGTATGCTTGTAGTTTAACATTATTTTTTTTCTTTTTGTTGTGTGTGTACAAGGGGGGTAACTGAGGTCAGAAGAAGAAAGGAAACTGCAAGCATCAGGGCATGAACTATTTTGCACTGTTAACTCCAGTAAGACCTTTGCTAAGACTAAGGGCAGGCCCTACCTACAACACACTCTCCACCCTCTCCTAGATATTTATTGAACTTCATGAGTTACTCAGTGGGTTTGACTGCACATATGAGGGAAGCTGCAATTAATATTTAAACAGCAGCTCTCTGCATCTAAGCTAATAACAGAATTGTAAATGTTTCCTGCGAGCTAAAATCACAGATGGAGCATTGGCAAAGAGATGTTACAAATGCTATGAAAAGGCTTAAAGTGCTAGATAACAGAAGAAATGTTTTAGATTTATTTTCCAATGCACTAAAAAGGAAAATAAAGTGAATAAAATACTAAGCATTAAAAATAATATTTTCCAATTGTTAACCATTTAGAGGCAAAAAAGCCCATCATCACATCTTTTGACTGAATTGATAGTCAGATCTTCCTTACTCTAAACACATAATTTGTAGCATGTCAAACTGTTTTATGGAGGATAACATGGGGAGAAGAACACTAAAGTGTTTTAGAGAAGATGGTGGTAGAACATCATAAGCCCTCCTGCGACTGGCGCAAGGCAGGGGTGTGCAGAAAGCATGGCTCCTGCCCAAGAACACGCACTCCATATAGGAATCTTCTGAAATATATCTATTTTTAAACCAGTCAGTTTCTACGCTATTGGAAAAAAAGAAATATGGTTTAAGAGTAGCATTTTATGCTTTTTTGCATATATACATTTGTAGAAATGTATAACTGTGCAGAAAGCTGAAAGTGCTAGTATGAAATATAGCTGGAAAAAATATGAAAAACACAATGAGACTCAAAAGATTCCTGTCTCTGAAATTATTGCAGGCTGACAATTGTGTTAAAAAGGAGAATGGTTACTGAACTTGCAATAAAGGTTTTATCAGGAAAATTAGTGAAGGTGCCATTAGGGTAAAGTCTAACAATGGAGGTTTACCCTTGTAAAGAGTCTGATCCAGTATTCTGTACGTAAAAAAAACCAAGAACTATTGATTTCAGGAGGCTTCTGCAAAAGTGAACAGACCTCTGTAATGCTAACAGATTTCTTCCTCTGAAATAAAAGCCTTTATTAAACAAAGAGCTTTCCTAAATAGATGTAATTTCTCTGCAGAGGAGTTTTATTTTTGACGGATGTCCTCCTTGATTATGGATCTATAGAGAACAGACACAGCCAAAAATGATAGATCTGCTGGATATGTCATTTTTGCGATAATGTTGGAGGGGCAAGGGAGTCTCACTGCAGAGCTCCGCAAAGAGCAGCAAGAAACAACCTACAAAGCTTGGTACCATGCTCCTGGACACACACAAGCTGCATATCTGCTGCCTACATATTTATGGGGTACAATTTATTTTCCCCTGTCCAGTTAAACAGAATTATCTTCTCTCCTGATGAAGCCATTATAGATATCCCCAGGAAGGAAAAGTTAGCAGACCTAAAGGCTCTTTGAGTGGAAGGTGTGAAATTTGTCTGACATTTTTGTAAGATCCTTTTGTTCTTCCCTAGATCTAGGCAGTAACGTGCAAGAGCACCTGGGTAAGGCATGCATGCCAACAGCAGCTTCAAATATTCTGTGCTGTCTGTTACTGAAAATTCTTGTCTCTCTTTAACCCCTCTGCTCACAAGACTCAGGGAAAGCTGGACATTTTGCATTCCAGGCTCTTTTCCTACAGAGTTGAAGGAATTGCCTTGATTATTCTGATTTTTGGGACAGTGCAATACTTCACTGTGCTACTCTAGGAAAGCAGGTAATGCAGCATGGAACCCTCATGTTGAACACATACCTCTCAACTCCAAGTGCAACACAGTAATTATTATAAAATAAAAACACTGATATCTATAAACATATATAAAAATAATTTGATTAAAAGAAAAAACAAATTAAAAGTAATTATCCTACAAATTTAAAGTAAAATTATTTTACTACGAAGAGATACAAAAGTCAACTTCCCAAAGGGAGGCAAATTCATCCTTTCCAGGTGGTCACCACAGGCTCTTTGCTCTGTGATACATTCCCTACCCAAAATGCCAACTCCTGGTCGCTGTCTCAGCAAGTACCGGCCTCTCCTGGCAGCATCTTTGCTCACCTGGTAAATCAGCAGCTGTCTGGGACTGCTACACTGGGCAGCATGTGAAAGCCATGTCGGCTTCTCTTACGCTTCTGAAATGTTTTTTTACTGATTTATTTTCAACAGAGTGGTCAGCAAAATGGCCATGAAGTCCACTGGCAACTGGCCAGACTCCAAGACTATATACTTGTCAAGTGAAAAAAGGGACATTCAGGACAGGCAAGGAAGGGGTCAGGCACAGACTGCCCGAGTAAACAAACATGTGCAGCTTTGGAAAAGAGATGGACTAGCGGAACTATACAAGCAATTTGATAATCAATTGATGGAAAGACCACAATTTCATTAGCCGATTGAATTTACTCAGCCAAGTACACAACAAGGTCATGGTTGATAACAATCCAACTATGTAAGCCAAATACCAGAATAATCAGACACTGGTTGCTGAGGCGGGTTTAGAGGACAGCTGAGAAAGTAAGAAGAAAGCACACAAACAAAATAAGGGATGAGCAGAAGTTCTGCTCTTTTTCTCTGTACTCAAGTGTGACGCTATCATCTACAAAAGTACAAAACTCTTCTTGGTTCAGTGAACTACATCCATGGATACAGGGTGCGACTTAAAATTTAACACAAAGCCTGCCAAATGCCACTGGAGTCCTTTTACAGCTGGTTGAAGTCAGACAAGGACATATCTGGCTGGAATGAACTTTGGGCAAAAGAATTGTCCTGGAAAATTTTCATCCTGTGTGTTGGAGCAAGAAAGGGAGTGCCGGTCAGTCTGGCAATCAGGATGCGAACACATCTGAGACCGGAAGAGAAATCAGCTGGGCACTTCATCACCTGTGCGAGTGGCTTCCAACCTAATTTATGATTTAGATTTTACCGGTGATAAGTATGATGCTTAGTTCAGTTCAGAAAGAACCTATAAATCTCAAGTCGTCTAATAGCTGATTATAAAGTTATTATTCCTGATTTATAGTTCTAGAGATTTTGCATGTAAGAAGTACTTTAAAAATGTAATTAGCATAATGGCTGCCTAGTGCAGTCAAAATTCCAAACCTGGTAGTAGAAAGCTACTATTTAGAGATAAGTCTGAACAAAGATCAATGAACTCGGAATTAAGGTTTGGAGATGGGGTTTTTTCAAAGAATGAAGGAATTCTTTCAAATTTGGGAGGCAACACACAGTAAGAGTAAAGAAGAAAAAAAGGTAAACCAGAAAAATACCTGGAAGGACTATAAAAAATAAGAGATATATCAGGAAGAAACGATGTCAAAGATATTGGATACAGGCATATATATGTACTGGGAGTTTGTGTATGTGTGTGTATATATTTGCATACTATACAGTACTTATCAAATACCACTTATCAAAGTGGTGAACTAATATTGTAGTTAGCTGATGCTGCAGTGAATATTTTCAAGTAGAGAGTACTCTGTCATACAGCACTTGCAAAACAAACATTAAGGTGAATTTGGAAGGCTGAGCGCATCTCTCTGAAGGCACCAAACTCTTAGCAGCCGGCCCTTTCGTTGCTGTTATATGATGTCAAATTCTCTTGGTGCTTTGTGTTTTGCGTGACTGATATGCAATCGAGTTGCAGCCATTTGTACTCAGGAAGTGGGCCCTTCATCTGGCTGCTTTCAGAGCTCAAGTGCTCTTTGGCTGGAAATGCTGGATTTTTTTGAAAAATGGAACATCAACTCCCTAAAATTAGTACAATGAATCACAGTGATAAATACTAATAATTTCCTTGGTATTACCCCAATAATGGAAATTACTTTTGAATGTGTAAGTTATCTACCTTGACTAATACATTTTCATGTAAAATCTTTTCTAATGAACAAAAAAGCTACCTTTTATTAAATTAATTCAGACAGCATACTGAATAGACAGAATCTGCCCATTCTACTTTATTGGTAAAAAGACACATATGAAACACTGATGTGAAGCTTATTTTATGGCTGTGAGGACAAATACGTGGCAATTCTCTAAAATGTATATGAAAATGATCAATAGAAGCAATAGGAGACAAAAGTAATAATAAAATTTGTCCTGTGATATATTACACTTTTGAAAGCATCCCTCACATCCCCAGATGATT